GAGAGAGAGAGAGCATACATCAGACTCTATACCCCATCAGCAATCCCAGATCTAAGTTCACAAAGATAACAAACAAGATCCAGTTTCTCTATTAAGTTTGAACTACACATAGGGTTTAAATTCCTTTAAATACCCCCAATGTAACATTTTTCAATTCTTTACCATGCCCTAGCAAGCACCTAAGCACATTCTCAAAGGCATCACTCTCTTGATCATGCAAAAACTAAGCATGTACAAAATGAAGTCAACTTTATTAGCATGCCAGTTTTGCCACTAGATTTTAAGTTTCCCCCCCTTCCACCAATAGCACCCACAAGCACAAATACCTTCCAATAGCTCAAAGACAGCACTTTGACATTGATGGAGAGAGACTTTTTCAGAGTCCTTGCAGTTTTCTACCCACCAGTTATTCAGTCCTGTTTCTGAATCTGCCATCTCCTGGAAAACAATGTATCTAATTAAAATGAAATGGTTATTCATTATTTTCTATCAGTATGAATTAAGTCTCAGTTTGCCTTAACCACTATAGTCACTTTCTTCCTCTTCAAGTTTTAAACCAAAGTAATTTTTCCTGATGAAGTGTAGTCCTATACTTTACAATAACCATTAATAAACTGTACAATTTAACCTGTGTTCCAAAAAGAAATAAAGCAATCCACAATACTTCCTAATTCTGACATTATTTCTTACAGAAAGCCAGAGATTTCATGGCCTCATCATGTTGGTTTCAAGAGACAGAAACACCCCATTAAAACCACAGTGATGCTACATGCCAAGAAGTGGATGAAACACCTAAATCCTGGAGAAACTCAAATTTGATTGAAAACATCTAAGTTTTCTGTACCTTACATGTCTTGCTCCCTAGTTCTAGGTGCTCTAGCTCATTGCTGGAGAAACAGGATGTATGGTTTGTCAAAGAGAATATGAATTATTCTGGACCTCTCAGCAGAAACTACACAGCCTGTTCAACAGCACCATTGTTTTTATTTTATTCCTACACCCACTGAAAATCCAGGTGGGAGTTCTTCCTGAGATCAACATTAGTTAAGAGACTCAGAACAGAGAAGCCACCAGGATAATACAGAAGTTAGCCTTTATAAAAAGTAAGGCTAAATAATTTAAGGGTCTTTCTAGCAAAAAACAAGCTTGCATATTCTAATAAGCAAAGTCACATTTCCTTACTGTTTGGACAGGAGCTGCCTTCAGGGTCTCTGTAAGGACAGAGTGTGATAATGGGCCAATCAGCCGGTATCTGAGAATCTCCATGCTTCTGTCACTGAAACAGGAAAGCTTCAGGTGAATGTACAATTGTACAACACACATCCTTTTCCCCAGTACTGTTAAGCCAGAAATGCATTATGTGTTATGTGGTTATGGACCACAGCTTTTGACTCTACTGTGAACAAACCTGATTGTAATGCCAGTAGTCTGTGAGATCCAAGAGTAGGACTGGAATGGATCTCTAGTGCCGTCACCAATTATTTTTTTCACTGGCACAGCCTTTTCTCCTTCTTTATCCTCCTTCTTTCTTTTATTGCCAAGGCTCATAACTTCCACTTGTTCTTCCTCTTGAATTGATGTTGTAACAGGCTCAGAAATACAGATTTCTTCAGGTTCTGAACACTGAAAAATTGCTTTTAACTCCCTCAGTATGTCCTTAAGAAAAATGAAGTCTGAATTAGGATGATATGCAGTGCACTGCAAACCTTAAGTATACTTTTGAAAATTATACTCTATTATTTAATTTTCCTATATGGATTTCAAGGAATAAAATTCTGCTGAAGTCAGGGGCTTGCTAAAAAAAGCTGAAAGTAATATTGAAACTTGCTAAGAATTTGTTCTCTTGAAAATTAACACAAGAAAAACTGCCTGTGCACAGCATTTTAATTGTTTTCATTTTCTTTTTTTTAAAGCTGATACCTAAATATCAAATTATATTTATCCATTATGATACTGAACTTATCCTGCTGGGTGTGTTAGTGGAAAGGATGTGAATCAACTAACATCATATTGCACATAAATCCTGAAGCAAGCAACACTGAAGAATTTTACAGAAGCTCAAACACTGAACACCCCAGCAGCACACACTTTGTGTATAAGCTTTATAAAAACAAGTTGAAGAACATGAATATTGTTAGAATGGAAACAGTCTTCCAAGTTTTAGTTCCTGAAGCCATGTATTATACCCAGTTCTTCCATACTTTTCAGATGACCCATTAATGTTTCACATTAATAACACCTAATACATGAAGAAATAAGAGTTCAACTATATAGGAAAAACCACCTGCTTGAGAGCTGGATGCACCCAGATCCACAACTGTCTGTTTTCAGACCCATCCCTGGGTTTCCAAATAAATGTAACAGGACCAAGCATATCCTCAGGATAGCGATCTGCTCGATAAAGATTCAGGGAACCCTCAAATCTTCCAGACAGGCAAGAAGCCTCTTGAAATGTCAATCCTAAAAAAGAAGATACTTAGTGAAGAACAAAATAATATGCTGTTTAATAAACAAGGTAAAATTGAAATTCAGTCTGGCTGCTGAGTGGCTAATGTTGTACCGTAATTTGCTTATTAATAAGCCACTGAAATAAAAATGTCTAGTCCTACTGTGACATCTTAATTACATATTTCACTCAAAATGACAACTCAGTATCAACTCTGTTACTACTATTGAGTAACTACTACTGATACATTACTAAAAAAGGAAAAAGATGGGTCATCTTTTAGTCTATTCAGAATCTTTATTATGAACTATGTAAATTTTACCTGTGTCAATGCTACATATTCGAGCAAGTTGCTTCAGAAGCTCATTCTCTTTACCCTTCAACTCCAAGCAACAATAATATGATAAGTCCTGAAACAATATAATAGAGTCAAAGTGAGGATAACTCTTTAAAGTGAGCCTGTTAAGAAAGGATCTTACAGGGCCTCACAATTTTTCATTCTCTAGAATTCGCCAAAGTGAAATGAGTTTCTTTTTAACTTAAAATTAATAGCTGTAGGAGAGTAGTGAGGCATTTCTCATGAGGGCCAACTTGCCTCTCAAAACAACAGATCAAAAAGGACATAGAATAAATTATCACTCCTCAACAGCTGCTCAGGTAGGTGATATAAGGATTCTTAGCTCTTGAGAAAACTGAAAATGCAGTATTTCAGTCCTAGTTACCATAAGACTCTTTTAAAGGTTCATCTAATTCTCTCCGAAACTTGCCACCCAGAATTACACTTATAAAATGATTAATTTCATACTTATCAGTCTTATTAAAAGCTGACCCAACAGTATTCACAAAGACAGAAATATTCATTATAACTAAGCAGTTGATTACTTCACCTTGGCAAAATACCCAACAAAACATGTAGATGTGGTACCTGAAGAAGGCATTGCTTTGTCATGGCTCGGTAACAAGCCCTGTAGCTCTTCTCTGTAGGGCTGTTTCCTAAACAGTATCCCCATTTCTTTACCATATGAAATCTCTTTGCATGCCAAATATGGGTTTCCAGCCAAATATTCTTTCTTTGCCTGTGATTAAACTCTGCTACCAAATTTATGTGGCGTCTTCTAGCTTTGCGGCATTTAGTCTTTGACTGTTCCTTTTTCTGATGTACAGCTTTCTCTGCCTGTTTTTTAGAAGAGAGGATACTGAAGTAAATCTCAAGAGAAAAAAAAATCTGAAAAGAAAAAGGCTGAAACATAAGAATACAGGAAGCACTAACATTAAGTTATGCCATGTTGGATCATTCCTGAAGGTAATTAACTTTGAAATTGTCTATGCAAATCACATCCACAGAAGTGCATTAAGGTTTGACTGAAACCCATATATAAAACAAAATTGCCACACATTCAGAAACTTAACAATGAACAGTAAATGCTACTACTTCCTGTGTGAAGTTTTTGCCACACATCAATATAGTCCCATGAACAAATCAATGTGACCTGGAAAATGCCTGGAGATTTGAGCTCATACAGAAGCAGTACAGACTATCAGACTGACAGAAAGGACCCTATCAGTTCTCTAACTCATAGAAGCTGATGAGAGAGGACTGTGGTAACATCCTGAAAAATTCTTGATAACCAGATTTAATCAAGGTCTGAACTATTACATGTAGATGCATGACTAGAGAGGAAGGTGTGACTCAATCAATGGTTGAATTTTATTTTTGTGAAGAAAAGTAGTAAAAAGAAATAGGACTATAAGGCATACAAAAACATTCTTAGAATATTCTTTGTAAGCTCACCAAGAAACACTTGACAACAGACCACTGGTTATAAGAATAGCAAAGGAAAGAAAATGACAGAAGATCAGTGCCAAGAACACTAAAAACAATGAAGCAAGCCATGAAATTAAAATAGGACAGGAAAAAAAAAAGAAAGTATTTTCCCTTCAGACCTATCATTCACCACAGAGAAGGAAATACAAGCCATTGGATCAATAGTAGGTGACTGGTTCAGAAAGGCATTTACAGAAAAAGGAATGAGGCATTGTAGGTGAAAAACATATATCTTTAAACTTATTAAAGAGATAAGAGATGGTCCAGGTAAATGTTGCAATGAAGGACAAGGGGGTCTTAAGTCAAATGAAGAAAATGCAGCAGAATTGAAGCAGGTAACTTTGAAGATGTAGATCAAACACTGAAAAGTAATAGGCAGAACCTCTACAAAAACAAATAACAGAGATATGACAAGATGCAAGAAAATGTGAGCGTGTGCAAACACATAAGCCACAGCAAAAGAACTGAAGACAGAAAATGTAGAAGAAATACAGTTGCACCAGGGCAAATTAAATAATTTCAAAAATCCAGTGGAATGGAAACAGGGATGGGAGAGGAAGTGTGAGCATGTATACAGAAGTCAGACAGACTGTCATATGAAAGGAGTTAAAAAAGCAGGACACAAAAGAACCAAACATAAACACTAGAGAAATCTAGATTTAACAAGGATAACACATAACTAACTATGCAAAACAGTCCATGCCTTCTTCCTTCAGTTCCCAGAAAAAAGGCCCAAAGTGCCTCTCTTATCATGTCTGACAAAGCAAAAAGAATGTGAACCGAAACAGTAAAATGAGATTCAGGTTGTGGAGATCCAATAAAACACCCTAAAAACATGTAATTGGCATGTGGCAGGGAAGTAGCCAAAGCGATTTCTGAACCATGAACAATCATCTTCAGGAACTCAGGGTGGAGGGGGCAAGGTCTCAATTTAAAGACAATGCAAAGAAAAAAAGAATCCAATGCATAAATTTATCAGTCAACCTTAATACACTGAAAATTTACTAAGCAAACTCAATTGATCACTTTAAGAATTCCAAGAGATGATAAAGTGATCAATGCCAAACATTGGGAAGATCATTTCTCAATAACATCCTGCTGAACCAATTTTTAATTTTCCTTTTTAAAGATGCAGGAAGATCACAGTGAGTAAGGAGCAAGTAACCCCCATAGGCATATTCTGACTAAATGCTGAGATATTGCACAAAATTAGTTCCATGAGCATTTAGGACTAGTCAATTAGTAAGTCTTAAGCTGCATGCAGCCTGCCAATAACCCCAGTGTACCTCCCACATTTGAGCTATCACACTCGAACCACTGCATCAGCTGTGCTAGCTTGAGGCTGGCATGGTCACATCCTAAAGCTGTGGTGGGATGCAAGGCAGACAATCAGGAATACTGAGGACTCTTGGACCACCTGGGACCAGTGCACCACATGAACAACCTCTACTGCCGTGGACTCTTTTATCAGTGTTCTAAGAACTTTTCAAGATGTCCAATAATCACAAAGCCAGGTGGTTAGTGAGACTTATTTGAGCTACCACCTGAAACTGAGGTGTTCCTGCATTTTGAATCCAAACGTCAGTCAAAATTTAGGGTACTCAGGGAAGTCTGGCAGACGTTCAGGTCTGAACATTAATAGCTATAGAGCTGAGCACTGTGCTTTGGCTGTGCCCAGTGCATGAAGTGCTGTAAAACACACTTATACCTCTTTCCTGGCCATCTCTTGGAGCCGCCTGGGTAGGCGTTTCACATTGTGACTCATTGCTCGCCTCCGCATGTGCCTAGGGAGGGTCTGGAAAACCAGAGAGTTGGAAGACTTCTGTGAAACTGCTTTCAACATGGCACTGATCTCAGCAGCACGAGCTTGGGCAAAGGTAGACACTGGAATGAAAAGAACTGCATTAGAGCATGACAAACAGCAAAAACACCAGAGAAGGATACTGTACGTAAATTACACAATTACTCCGATAACAGCAGTCCGATATCTTCTTGACATAAAAGTAAGTACTGTACACTGTCCCTGAAGAAATTTCAGTTCTTTACATATGCTGAAGTTTACAGATATGGTCAAGCAAATATTTATACATTAATGAATCTCAAAGCTGTTTAACCAACAATTCTTTTTTGCACTAAATACTTCTTTGTTAAATAAGAATAGCAATCTTTTCAGGTGGTATTCATGGAAAGGAAGAAATCTTCAGCATGAAAAAAATGGAAGCAGCAACATATTACAGACTGTTTTGCAACAACAAATAAAAATCCAGAGCTTGGTCTCATTTCATGTTTATGGACGTGTTATCTACTATCAGAGCACTGCCACATTTTGCAAAGCTGATTTGCTCTCCTAAGTAAACATTCTGTTAGACAAAAAGCTATATCTAACTTATGTCATGAGTAAAATCAGTTTCACTGGCTACATCAAAAGCAGATGACTGTCAGTACTCATTTTGCTGGCAAACAGCAACCAAAATGCATATTCCCTCACTACAAGCAGGTGTAATTTTTCCACTCAGAAATCTGAAAGAACCCATTGAACAAGATCTAGTCATTCACTCCAGTTCCCAACTACTTCTGTGTTTTGGAGAAAATCAGGAAAAACAGAAGAACATAGCATCAGTTCTAATTTTTGCTCTTGCACAAAAACAAAGACAGCAAACTTAATGGCCAGCAAATTGCCCTGGACACGAAATTATGATATTTTCACATAAACAAACCTGTTATGTATTTTGGCATTTCCTCAGAAACACTTGGGTGTCCTCCTTGCCATCCTCCTCTTCCTCTGCCTCTCTCTCCTCTATTTTGCCCCTTTGAAAAATTTTGGTCTTTCCTGTAAGAAGGTCCAGATGACTGATTTGAAAATTTCTGCTGCTGCTGCTCAGAACGAACATCTCCTGGAAGGTTTAGAGATGAAAAGAGGTTAGAGAAACACAAATTAGTCTGAGTAACTGATAATTCTTATCAGTCTTTCCTCATAAAACTGCACTGCAGACTCCTATTACATTTAATACATGTAACTGAAAATGCCACCAAAAATCAGAAGAATTACATTCTTTCTTACAGGAATAAATAAGAATTTTATGCTGCCCTCAAGCAAACTTGTGATAGATTAAGTAACTTTTACATGCTCTGAAAATGGCAAGCAATCCAGACTTTGCCTCCAAGAGTCAAATCGAAATCAGTCCATGCAACATCATAGTGATTTTTAATATTGTCTTGTCAGAGCTTTAGTAACAAACCAGCAAAGTTATTTTTTCCACTTTTTTTTTTTTTTATAAGCAAATGTATTCTTGCCCGACATATATTTCCTTCACAGCAATAATTAAGGTAAATATGACACGTGTATGTTGGTGCAGTAAGTTGCTTGTCTGGTACAAGCAAACCCATACTGAAATTAAATAACTAAAGCCTGCAGTAAAGCTTCCTAAGGTACAGACATACCTTTCAGGAGTGCTAAGCACCTAGCAAGTACCTAAAGTTTCAGAGAGCCTTGAAGTCCTTATTCAAAGACCACTGTATATTCAGCCTAACAAATATTATATATTAGTTTAGATTACTTTATGTTCAGTTAAGCCCTTGAGATATGGTTCTCAGGCAGTTCATGCTGGACATTCCAACTAAAAAAGCTGCAGACAGCCACTCCTATGACCCCATCCACTACATCAAGACAAGTGCTTGAGAGAACAAGGGGCTACAGCATTCAGGGATCTTCTCTAGTGAAAATCAACCTGTGTGTCCACAGACATGGAAAGAGAGATTAAAAAATCCGGTTTTCAAGTTGATCAGCTTCTTAACCAAGCCTATCCCAAAAATGCTACCATTGGCATGAAGACCAGCCAGGAGCAGATTCACATCCAGCAGCATCTCAATTTATGAGAACTTAAAAAGACAAAGAATCCCCTTTTTCCATTTCAAAGAAGCAAGAAACTGAAGTTTCATGTTCAGCAGCAGTAGTGTTGTAGCCTGCTGCAACCACACATCATGCAGAACTGCAGTAAAACTGCAGAAAAAATAATTTGGTGTAGAAACAGAAATTAGCTTTTACGTGGAACAATTCCCTGACCTGGTTTTCCACATACTTGAGAGCAGCATCATCCAGACACTGAGGTGAAGGTGAGAAGGAAATAGCTGGGAAAGAGGGATGGAAGCTGTCTCAGCAAATCTGTGTAGGCCTACAGCCTAAAATTAACTCGTATCACAAACACACCCTCTTAATGGAGGAAGTAAAAATTGTAATCAGAAGACCAAAGACTGTTTGGCAAAACAGTCACTGACTTAATAACTAAAAAACCCTTATATTATCTTAGCTACTGTATAGATCCACAGTTTTGTAACTCCAATTTACATTTTGGACCTCCAATTTTCTCTCCTATTTCTACAAAACAGCTTTGTAAAACTGTGATACTGACACTACAGAAGAACGCTACATGGATGAAAATCCACACCTTATAACATAACAAAAAAACATAACCATGTAATCTTGGAAGTTCCCTGCTACAAATACAGTTAGAAAGACGTATTGATCTGGCAGTACTCCTGCAATGACATTCCAAAATCTTCAGACATAGCTAAGCATAATTTGCTATGTCATTCTGTCTGCATAGGAACTCTTCGGTCACCTAAATACACAGTGATACTTCAGGGTTTTTTTTTTCATTCAATGACAAAGATGCAATTTGTCAGCTTCTGAAGGCCTCACAGTAACAAGTCCTTTTATGTGTGGGGCTTTTCCCAGAAATAATGCAGGTAACAAAATATCTAAATATGTAGGTGGTGGTGGAAACTGAGGTCCGATAGAAGCATAGAGGATTGCAGGTCAAATCACAAGGACAAAAAGAGCATCTAGCATACAAGCTGACAGGCTCTTTCAGTCTCTTGCTGCAAAGGTTACCTGGACAGGACACTGCTATTATGGGACACGTCCCGCTGCCTCCTGCCAATACCTTCACAGACAGAGGAGCCACAAGGCGCAGGAGGCAAAGGGGCGGGCGTGCAGATGTGAGGAACAGCAGCGCAAGCATCGCAGCACCAGCGATACACGGCCCTCCCGCAGCTCCCCGGCCCCGCGGAAAAGCAGGGGAGACACCGGATGGGCTGTAGCATCCAAATTCATTTTAGACTAGGAACCGTAGGGATTCGTCCTGTAATCGCAGGGATGATAGAGAGAAGGGCCTATTCACAGGGTACAGAATAGTTTGGGTTGGAAAGAGCCTCTGGAGACCATCCAGCCCAGCCCCCCCGCCAAGGCAGGGTCACATAGAGCAGGTTACACAGGAACGCGTCCGGGAGGGTTTGGAACGGCTTCAGACAGGCTCCCACAGCCGTACCTGGGGTCGGGCAGGCTCTGCTCCCGCCGCCGGCGAAGGGCCCCGGCTCCGCGGGCAGCGTGACGCTGGCCGGTTGGTTCCTCATCTTCTTGGCTCGCTTCTTCTCCCGCGCCCCAGACATCTCCGGCGGGGTTGCGGAGCCTCTGTAGCGGGAAGAGGCGGGCAGCGGTCGGCGGGCGGTGCAGCCGCGGAGCTCGGCACCAGCCCCGACGCGGCGCTCACTCGCGGCGCGGCCTCCACCGACACACGTGGACACCCACGCCCCGGCACTGCGCATGCGCACTCCTACAGCACAGCCCTGAAGGACTACATTTCCCAGAGGCCCCCGCGGGCGGTGGTGGGCGGGCCGTGCCCCGGCTGGCGCCAAGGGGAGGGAGCGCAGGGGGGCGGCCCCAGCACTTAGTGCAGCTTCAGCGCCGGCTCCAGCCATGGCCTCGCTCGTGAAGAAAATAATCAGCACTACCAAGGCCCCTGCACTGGGTCCCTACAGGTAATGCCTTAGCTAAGAAAGATGTGAGAGTCTTGGTGGATAACGAGTAGACTATGAGCCGGCAGCGCCCTTGCAGCCAATGCTTTCCTGGGGTGCATCAGGAAAAGTGTGGCCAGCAGGTCGAGGGAGGTGATCCTGCCCCTCTGCTCGGCCCTAGTGAGGCCATGTCTGGAGAGCTGTGTCCAGTTCTGGACTCCTCAGTACAAGAAAGACAAGGAGCTACTGGAGAGGGTCAGCGGAGGGGCACAGAGATGATGAGGGGTCTGGAGCATCTGAGGAGACTGGGGGAGCTTGGCCTGTTTAGTCTGGAGAAAAGAAGACTGAGAGAGGATCTTATCAACACTCGTAAATACCTCAAAGGCAGGTGCCGAGAAGATGGTGCCAGGCTCTTTTCAGAGGTATCCAGTGACAGGATAAGGAGCAGTGGCCATAAACTAGAACACAAGAAGTTTCAGCCCAACATGAGGAAGAGTTTCTTTATTGAGAGTGGCAGAGATTGGAACAGGCTGCCCAGGGAGGCTGCAGAGTGTCCCTCTCTGGAGACGTTCCAAATCCAGCTGGATGCATTCCTTTGTAACCTGCCTGCCTTGGCGGGGGGCTTGGACTGAATGATCTCCAGAGGACCCTTCCAACCCTAACAATTCTGTGATTTTGGGAGCAGGTTTTGCTGGCAGGGTTTTGGCAGGTCTCTGCAGGTCAGGCAGGCAGGCCTGGGGCTGAGGTGAGAGCAGGACCCCTGAGTGGGGGCCAGTCCTGGCACTCCCTCCCCCAGTAGCCCCCAGGGAACCTGGAGTCCCAAAGCACGAGTGGGGCTGTGCTGCCATGGCAAACTGCAGGCCAATTAGGGGAGGGGGTATAGTTCAAAAAGTTAGTTTAGGGAAAATAATTCTGGAATTAGTGGTAAGGAGTGAATGGGGGAAAAAGAGGAAGAAGAATGATTGTTCTCCAGAAAAAGGTGCTTGGCTAGAGACGAGTGTGTTGTGTAGGGAAGCTGGAAATGCTGACTGTGCAGGTGATACAGAGTGAAGGCTGAGCCCAGTCCAGGACAAGCTTGGTTAGATGCATAATTCAATGCCTGGGAATTAAAAATCCTTTCTTATTTTAAATAGTTATGTTTTTCAGTCTAAAAACTTAACTGCTGTAAAAATATTTAAGATGTTCAACATTTTCACAAATACATTGTTGTAGCAGTTGTATATAGAATTAAAATAAAGAAAAATACCAGTTTTAATTAGATAAAGACTTCTCTGCAATTTGGATGTGAAAAGATGTTCAGTCAGTATAGTAGATTTTCATAGCTAAAGTACTAAAGGGTTATTACCAGGACATTTTCTAAGAATTTTTAATTCTACAGGCTTTATAAAGATGGAAAAATACAAGTGTAGAAGCAGAGAGACATGGCATGAAGGTTAACTTCTGTAAACAATAACCTGTTTGTGGATTGCAGCCAGGGGCCTGACGTTGCTTGGCATCAGGAGAACATCTAAGACAGGGGAAGGCAACAATTCTTTGCACGCACACACCAGTGTCCCAGCCCTCAACATAGCTTTCCACTCTGAAATGTTGTGCTTATTGGCAGTTTTTGATGAAATGCTGCTTATTGTGTAGCTTGTTAGATGTGTGACAAGTCTAACATCAGTAAGTTTATCAGTAACTTATTTTATCAGATTTTAGTAAACTTGACAAAGTCCAGAGGGCAGAAGTTGCACAAGAAATAACTGCCACATCTCTGCTGTGAGGTCTGAGCTTGGTTATGCAGGGATGAGGGCTTAATGTGGAATGAAGAATTGGGATGAATGAGCTGCATTCCTGGTTCTGCTGCAGCCCTTCAGTATGCTTTTTGGTGACCTATTTTTACTGTATTTTTCTATTTTTTTTACTCCATCCATTTGCCAATACCTTGAGGTAGGTAGATATATAAAAAGAAACATATCTATGTGTGGGTCTATATATCTCATTAATGTTATTAACAGGATACTGTTCTTGTATTAATCCACAGTAATTTATGTAAAGAAGATCTGATTAAAAAAGAGCATGGTTCCTAACACCATCTCTCTGACAATGTTGTTCTAAGGTCACAGTGTCAGCCCAGTTATGCATTTAGGTACACTGAAGCCTGAATTACTTTAACACACATTCACATCCCTGCTGATTAATGAGTAGCTACCGTTGGCCCTAGTTATGAGGTGCATCTACAGTTGAAGAATGATTGGGGTTTGTGGAGTTGAAGTTTCCCTTAGCTGCACTCATGCATTTGAGTGCAATGCAAGTCTGTTCCTTGGCTGGTAAATTGTTCCTAGTCTCAGTGAATGGAGGATTCCACTGGTGAGCACACCAAGAGCAGGAAGCTGATCAGACCCAATAAGGCTGCTGCAGATGTTGATCTGGCAGTGGTATCAGAAGGCTTCAGCCCGTTCTTTCCCAAGTTAATAATGATTTAGGACTCTCAGATGACCTCTGAGATAAACATTTCACTGTCATTGTGTTGTACTGCTTATCACAAACCAAATCTCTTTTAGTGGAGAACCCGTACCTTCTTGTTGTACAGCTCTCTGTGCTTCAAACAGAAACAGAAGTTTGTGCTCTGAGGGGCCCCCTCCACAGCAGGAGTGGTAGGAAAGAAAACTAAAGTGTGTACATGCACACATTTCTATCAACAAGACTGTGTCAGCTAGAAAACTATTCAGTGGTTTCTCTTTGTATGGTGTAGTTTTGTGATTTTCTCCAGTTTTGTTAGTTGATGACAGAAAAAATAATCCCCATGTAAGATAGTTTACTATATCTGAGAAGTTGCTGGCTATTTTTTCCCCATATAAAATTACAGGAGAATGTAGGACAGGTGTAAAAGGAAAGATGGGAATGATGGTATTGTTCAAGCTGCCTAACCCTGATTATTTGACTGAGTCCCTAGATTAGGTTTGTCCCCTGTGAGTCCAACTGAGCGAATCTCAGTTGAGAGATGTACTAAAAATATTCTCTGAATGTGCCCCTCTATTTCCATCAACATTAAAGGGAAGAAAACCTCCTATTTCAGATACCTCAGGGAGGTAATTCTAGTTTGTGTAGCTTGAGAGAATTGTTGAATGTTGAAAACAATGCGTTTCCTTGTGGAATGAGAAGAGATAAGAAAAACAGTTCCAAAATAATCTTTCTATAATTTCTTTGCAAAATATTTTTAATTACTGGTTGAAGAGAATTAAATTGTGTCTCTTGTATAATGTTTGCTAGATAGTTTAAATCTTTGTTTTCAACTTTTAAACTCTTTGTAGTAGAGACACTAATACTTGCCAACTCAGCTTCAGCAAAAGCACATTTGACATTTTTATATAAATGTTTTGCAAATAACTTGAAGTTTGCATTCTTCTGAATTAACCCAGCAAAGAAGTCACTCAGGTTATTTGGTGAGAGGAGAGTGAGTGTTCTGGGGATGGAGTGGTCAAGGTGTTTTGCTGACTGGCCAAATTCATTACTCCGGAGGAATACTGCCGGAGAACCAGGGTGCAGGTATCACCTCACAGCTGTAACTCATTTTCATAGTGCCTGTTTAACAAGAAATATGTTAAATCTCTTTTTTATTTTCTTTTGTTTTTTTTTTTCCCTCCATTGATCTGCAGCTGAATTTTGGTTGAAAGGTATTGTTTGCTTCTCAAACTAGGATGGAATATTTATCTGGGCAGGTGCAAAAAATGTTTTTATTTACTCTGCCTTCCCTCTGTGCTATCTGTACAGAAGCTGTATATCTGTATGGAACCTGTAGCTCAGTTTAGTGTTGTGTTGCTGCATTCACACCTTGTGCCTTTGCAAAAAACAGGGTTTATCTCCTCAAGGGAAGAGCTATGCACTCCCATAGGTGATATAATTCCAGCTCTTCAAAAGTTTAAGCAAATTGGTGTATGACTGCATGTATAGGCTTGCATGTGCAAAACTCAGTCTGACACATGATAAAGTACTGTAGAAAATTTGAAATGTGCTTTTGGATTTGAAGTGTTTTTGTGGGGAAACATTAGACCTAAAATGCCACTTGTGTTTTCAGCCAAGCCGTGCTGGTGGACCGGACAATGTATATTGCAGGGCAGATAGGGCTGGAACCTTCCACTGGGCAGCTTGTCTCTGGAGGGGTAAAGGAGGAAGCCAAGCAGGTAAGAAGTCTTTCAGCAATGAACTTGTAATGGAATTGGCATGTGTCTAATTAAAAGTGGAGTTGTGAGAAATTGAGGAGACTAGAAAGCACATCACATCTTCCAGATGGGGGAAAAGCAGGAGGAAGTCATTCCATCTTAACTAACTTAACTTACTTTAGTCATTTTTCCAACAACTTGGAAAACTTGGAGGTCAGGCTAGAAATCTGTTTTGTGTAGGAAGGTAAGAAAGAATCAGTGTTTGAAGCAAAGGTTCACACCCCAATAAAAAACCTGGCTTGAGTCAGGGAAAGTTTTACTCCCTTAGGAGCAAAGAGGTAGAGTGAGATAATAGGATGAGATGGAGCTGTGTCATGTATTTACATCTAATGAATGGATGGTTTCATATTTATTAGATGCTCCCTTTTATTAATTTTTATTTAAGTCAGTCTTTTTTTGACAGTTGAGATTTTGCTGATTGAACTTACAGTAAACATGGATTCGGCAAAGTCACAAGTCAAACTTACATACTTACAGAAACATAACCCAGCTGATAGCTAAAATATTTTTGTTTCATTTTTCTTTAGGCTCTAAAAAACATGGGAGAAATCCTGAAAGCTGCAGGCTGTGACTATGGCAATGGTAAGTGCTGCTTACAGATGGTTGTTTTTACCTGAATTAAAATATAAAAAAATCAAGTGACCTTTTAAGAAAAAAAGAAAAAAGCTATTTGTTGGACATTAAATTGTTACCAATAGCTGGAAGAAACAAATGAAATAGTGAATTTAGGTTAAAAAATAAAAGAAATGAATCTATATGCAAGTTTTGCAATGGGTATCCATTGAACACTACCTTTCACCAAAAATTTTTGGCAGTGGTACTAATATTTTAACTCCAACTGGGGAAGCCCAGGTACAGAGACTGTTGCAGTGACTACAGACATTTTAAGGCTTTGCTCCAGGTGAAAGCAGGTTTGTAACTGTGCTATTAATATTCTAGACATTATCAATACTTTTTGGGTGGAGGACTCTACTGATGAAGCCACACCAGAATTGCTGCTGGGTTAGACAGTCCTGAGAAGAAATTCTAGCACAGAGTATATTTTCAGACCTTCCATTATTTTTTTTTTTTACTGGCAGCAGATATTATATCTAAGTTATTGCCAGCAGCTATTTTAATTGATCTGCTTATTAGTTCAGTGCCTCATGGGAGGATTTGGCTTTTTCAGAGCTAGTCAGGAATGGCTTAATTTCTTAAAGTTTTATTACACACTAGATGCTCGGATTTTTTTAGATAGTTCCTTACGTTGTAGCTCTAATGGTTAATATCTGCAGAACTTTTCAAAATGTTTAGAATACTTGAGAGAATTCTATGAAATAAAAGCAAGAAATGCACTAAAGTTTTTCAATTTTTTATGCAAGTCAAAGGTCTAAAATTACTGCACTTACATAATTTCTAGTTGTGAAGACTACAGTTTTGATGGCAGACATGAAGGACTACAATGATATTAATGATATTTACAAACAATGTAAGTAGATATTTTGCTTGTGTTTTACCATTATGGCTTGTGGAACAAATTATGTTCATGGTAGTCAAAGTGTTTTAATGGCTCATATGATGTAGGTCCACATTCTTTGAAATTCCTGTATAAATTTTTTTTAATATTTAATTTTCAAGTATCAGATCAAGCAGAGCCTAATTTCATGTGGATTTTTATTCTACCTTTCCACTAACTCACTGTCCTGTGAAGATCATCTCCTGCTATCCTTACAGGTTGATCTTCTTTGCCTCTTACCTTGCTTGATGTTTTGCTGTCTTAGCTATAGTTCTACTGTAGGTAGCCTTCAAATACTGAATTTCAGTCTTTATATCTCCATTTCTTTTGAGTCTGTACTTTTTGAACAATTTGAGGGTCATTGTTATAGGACTGTGCTCATTCTTTATACAAGGATGAGCGATGGTGCTCCCCTTGAAGTAAAAAGAGAACAATGCTTGGTCAGCAAAAGTGAATGTAGACTGAAATAGGTGATTCCAATGAGCTGTTTTGTGCAGAATAATTTGGAACAATTTGCATGAGCTCCTTATTTAGATTGCCACATCTGTTCTTGAATGAAGTGTCATTGATAAACAACTAACACAGTCTCCTACTTGTCAAACTGTACTGGGGGGTGTGCCTGCTTAAGCAGAGTAAAACCAGTACTTGTTGCTTCCAGCCTGGAGTTTGAGCACAGTTGCTGCTGTTCTCTTATTGTGAGTTACTATCTTGATGCAGGACCCCTATATTTCCATTATTAACAGATTTGTGATAACTGTCACTAGTAAAACTTTGACTTCATTATGCAAATTTCTTGGAAGTGATCAGTCAGGGTTGGATGGGATTTTGAGCAATCTGATATAGTGAAAGATGTTCTTGGCCATGGCATGGTGGTGAAGCTCCTATGTCTTTACCAGTACCCTTCCCCATGCCTTACGTAGTTGTAATATCTGTGATTGTCAGGTCTAAATGGGCACGGAGGAATAAATCAAAAGCCTATTTTTCCTCTGTTTTCCTTTGATATGAGTAAGGTTGGACTCCTGGTGACTTTATGTGAATCTGGGATCCTTGCTCATTACTTTTTTGGCAGAGGCCTGTTTCTCTCTCCTGCTCTTTCTGTGAACGAGCCATCTCCCACTCCCTGGTGTTTGAAACTCATCACCATTCTGATTTAATCTTTCTTTTTCAGCCAAGTTGGTGTGATGGCCCTGCAGTGTCAGCAGAATACAAGTTATCACTGGCCAACAGATCACAAATGCAGCTGACTGCTTGGGGATGAGTGGTGGCTTGCTGAGATTGAGCAGTCAGTCACCAAAGCAAAAAAACAAGGGGGAAATGACAGCTGGCATGGATGATTTGTAGCCTTGAAACTGAAATAGTTCCAATTATTTAATTTTATACAGATTACTTTGAACTGTGTTTTATCAAGCCACGTTTAGTGATTGCTGGATGTTTCTGTTTAAATTACAGTTTTCAAGGCAAACTTCCCAGCCAGAGCAGCCTATCAAGTTGCTGCTTTGCCGAGAGTAAGTGTCACTTTTCTATCTACAAAAAAACCCAAAATTTTTTTGAATACCTTACTACTGAAACATTCTGACAGCTTTTTTAAGTCTGAAATAGCTTTGATTGCAATTATTTTAATAAAGACTCTTAATTTCTTTTTTAAGTATATTATTGTTACTCTCACATATTGTCAGAGTCTGAATATGAGATACATATTTCTTTATGGTGGAAGACAGATAAAACATTAGAAATAAGGGGTTATGATACTTGAGTAAGCATAAATTTAATTTACAATATTACTGAACATTGCTAAATCAGTAATACAACTGTCAGAAATTTAATCTCTTTCAAATGTCACTTTTTTATTAAGTTGTATTGTTCATCCAATTGTTTCATAAAATAGATACATTAAATTCCTAATACGTTTCTTCATTGCTTTGTCACAGGGGGCCAGAGTTGAAATTGAAGCTATTGCCATTCAGGGACCTCTCCAAGATGCTTCAGCATGACTATAAGTAGAGACTGGATATCTTACAATGACAGTTTTAGATTTAGTTAATACTTCCTTACATCCAATTCCTACAGCTGATTAACAGCAGTTACACACAGCTTAAATCAGTAAACTTACTGAGGAGAGGTGCTTTCTTCAGGACTTACAGTGAGTTCTCTGCTGGCAAACTCTGAAAAGTGCCTGAGTCCTGCTAAAATCAGCTGAGCCAGATTGTAGGACAGGACCTGCCCTTTGTGGAGGTGACTGGATATTCAGGTATTAAGGTACATACCTGGGTGAATGTATTAGAGTTATACTATGGGTGATCTGGACGCAGAAAACTATATTGATTTGTAATAGTAGGTTTTTAGTAAAAAAATTTAAATCGGAAAAAAATAACAAATGAGAAAACAGAACACTTGAATTGCTTAGCATACATCTTCACTTCTGAGGAATTTTCCTGTATTTGCTTCCGAATTTTCTTAACTTCTTTCTTTACACAACAGATTACTGTTGGGACTCAGATGTTTTCATATGTAAGCAACTGCTTAACAAAGTTAATATTGATTTCAGAAAGAAGACAATTACAATTTTCTGAAGTAAAGTGGTACCCTTATAAATCAGATTAAAATTAATATCTACATGTAACCTTTCTCATGATCTTTTTCATAGCAATTCAGCTTTATCTTGATTTAAAAAAAATAAAAATTAAAATATGTTTAATGAGATTAAAATATAATTGCAACTGCAAAAATGTGTTTGTCTATTATGGGAACAAACTTTTCTTTTCCTGATTATGGTTTGATACTCCATTACAAAAAAAGTCTCCAGCTTGCTTATCCAATAACAGATAATTTGAACCAAAAGAATAGGCTTATTATCTACATCTTATAGCTAAGGATGAAATTCTCCAGGACAGGAAGCTTTCAGCTACGACCATTACAGTTCTTGTAATTTTTTCCTCAGTCATTAAGGTCAGAAGCATAGATTTGATGGAGTGATTAATTAATATTAAGAAATCCAACTGGTGATGCTAGTTACTTAGCCCATCCTTCTGTATTGATCTTCTATCGAGTAGAAATGGATACTGTGAGAATAGTCAGCCCTACTTACCAGTCCTAGATTTGATGTGAAACAGCCATTCCTTCTTTTCACTGAGCTTATAAACTGCACCGTTATAGAACAAAGATTCATAATGAGGTTGTCACAGAAAATATGTGCAGATATAAGGATTTTTTTTTATTGTATTACCTTGCTTTCTTTGGGGGATAATTATTTTTATTAGAAGCAAGATAATGCCTTTGTTATTTCAAACAGCAAACTTCCAAACAGCCTTTGAAAAATACCTGACTTTTCTCTAAATAAACTTCCTATACATAAACTTTGATTAGTTTTTGCTGCTGTTCTTTTTCTGTCTCCTTGGTTGTACTAATAAGGCATCTTATGCTCTATAGCTCTGATTCCATAGGCAATCCACCTAAGAAAAAACATGGTCAGATGTGTTAGGAAGGAGTTAGTACTAACTAATATGGTAATGACTTTCCAGGAAACACAAAGCAGATGTTCCTTCATTTTGTCAATTAATAATAATTTAAAATAATGTAATTGAATGTAATTGAAATGTTACATTTAAACTTTTAAATGGAGTTTAATTCCTGATTTATATTTAAGTTTCTCTGTTACAGCTTTGTTTAGATGTAATTATGTGGTTGGGATCTATTTCACTGATTTGCAGGAGATTTAGTTCAAGTTCACTGTAAACCAGCTGGTTTCAATTGTTTGAACATGAGCTGTGTTCAGCCTTTTGTAACCAGTGATTATCCCTTCTTACTGCTCACGTTCTTCCCACCGCATTCCCAGCCTGTGTCCCGCAGCCTCCGTGCACCTCCAGCCCATCACTAGATGGAGTTGCGGTATTTTTGTGGCGTGCTGACTTGTGCATTGGCCGGTAAAAGCCCATTACAGCCTCCTTGAGACTGTGGTGGTAGGAGAGCAAATACACCATTGCTCTCCACAGTAAGGGACAGGCTGAGGCTGAAATGGAAATGAAACACCTGGGAAAAGTTCCATGCTGGATGCAGCCAACATTTTGTTTCCATTAAGTGTTTTTATCAGTAAGTAGGTGCCATTCTGCAAAAACTTAAGAACAGAAATTCCCTCTTAGCTTTATGATTCTTCAGGTGAAGACAGTTAAAGTTTTTAGACTATATATTTAAATCAAAGCCATTCAAGATATTTTCTTGATACGTATTCTTCTGGTACAGGAAGTCTAGAATCACTGAAATAAAGTCTCTTATTTACAGCTCTAACATAGTAGTTCTCAAAATAAAAAATCAGCCTTCCACAGAGAAGTGTAAAACGTTTATTTTATTTAAGTAGAGTTATGTTATTTGATTCTATTCTTTAAAACAAAACCCATGATTCTCCAATATGAAAAGCCTATCTCTTAGCACTTAATTTGCAAACTACTAGCTACGTAGACATTTAACAAGTTCAGTTTTAAATAGAGATATGCTAAAAACAGGTGTTTTTTTTTTTCTTTGCTAAACTGAGCTGCATGCAAAATACAAAGTTGCAATTCATCTTGTGTCATCCTGATTTTGGCATTTAAAATCTGTTTCTATCACATATAACTAAAAAAACCACAGCAAAATGCCACTTTCTGTGAAAGTAAAGCAATATATAAAGTACTGAAGTGTGTATGTTCTACCAGGTGTTTCTTTTAGTAAGACTTTTTCTTCTTTAAATTATTATATTTTGTATGGATTAAGCAATGCAACAAATAAATTTCAGTACCTAGTTTTAATAAAACTGTTCTCTTAAACCACATAAATTGCCCCAGTCTTCTTCTAGCAGCACTTGCTCTTGCTGCAGTGTTTACCTAAAAGCAGCTCCTCATTGAGTGAAAGAGCCAACCCCAGCCAGCCAGATGGGCAGGGATCTTCTGAAATCCTGCAGAGGGCATATGTGTCTGCACAGAGCTGACAGGGAGCAAATTTAACCTCTTCTAGGGCTGTATTTATTGGTAATTAGAAAAAAAAATTCTAGCAGAACTTTCTTGTTAGCTTGGAAATTAAGCTTGTTCTTTCAAGTGCACTGCCCAGTACTCCCTTCTGTGAGGAAAGGTTACTTCTGCCTTGGATGAAGTTGAGGACTGAATTGTTTAACTTTTGATAAAATGCAAAACAATTATAAAAAATGCTTGACTGTATTTTTAAAAAAATATGTTGCTTAATATCTGGAAAACACAAATATTTGGGCATATCTTCCTTTTCCCAGCCTTTAACAGCAGAAAGCTGGTTGACAGACCAAGTACATTTGCGTGGTGGAGATGTCTTATTTCTCAGGGCAGGAGTGTTCAGCATATTTTTAGCAAGCACATTTTGATAATTTAGGTGATTCAATTTCTCATGTTTAACATAGATAGTATGAAGCATATTTCCTGTTTGGGAAAGGAAAAAGAAAATTCACCTGTTGTGATTATAGACTATGTAAGGATGAAGATGTTGAGAAAGTCTGCTACTGTTGAATCACTGACTGGTTTATATGCCTCTTGTTTTCATCTGCATTGCTTTATGGCCTGAAGAAGCTGAACACGAGGAAGAACATACATAGTCACCTGTCTTCTTTGTTACAACATAGTAGAAACAGTGACTGTGAGGTGAGCAGGTCATTTTGACTCCCTTGTATCTTAACATTTTATTTCCAAGTGCAGTCTCCTCTGTTGCTATGAATACTACTGATCTCTGTCACAGAGCTCTTGTTGGTTTATGCTTAAAAATAGTTTAATGCTTGCCAGACTGCAGTTCATGATCTTGCCAGTAGTCAGCCTGCCTCTGCCGATTTAACCTCCTGTGTTTTTGAGTGGGGCTGTGCTGGCATATGTGCTGGTGGCTGAACCGAATTCCCAGCTCACAGGAAGAAATCAGCCACGAGATGCAGCTGAAGATGGAAATGCTTAGGGCATCCTGGAACATGGCTGTACACCCAGCCCAGTCCTATGTCACTTTGGGGTGTTCTCATTCTGCTCAGTACCTGTTCCCCCACTCCTCAGCTCTTGAATGTGCATGGTGTTGTTTTTCATTCCTTCTTTTTGTGGAATGGTTTGAGTATGTGGATAAAAACTGTTGACAACTTCTGTTTAATTTTTTGATGCTCACATTAATGTTAATAGATTTTTTAACAGAACCAGCAGCTTGTTTTAGCTTGTCTATTTACAGAAGGCTAGAAAAACTAAAAAATAAATTAAAAGTTACATCTGCCTAGCAAAAATTCCCTTAAAAAAAAGGTATGCATTTGGATTTTATGGTGTTGCCTACAGGCAGTTAATATTAAATGAAGCTGACAAGTTCATAAGAATGCTGCTAAGCAGAAAGCCTTAGATTTAGTGATACAGCCAAGAACTATGAGCTTATACAAAAGGTTAACAGGCCAAGGATATAAATTAATTATTTAATACAAACCAGAGTGAGCTGGAGTCAGACATGTACATGAAGTTTGAAATTATTTCTTAGAGGGGATTTGTATAATTTGCTGGTGACAATCAGGATTTTTGTTAAGTTCTATTATACAATAAAGCTAATAAAAAAGCAATGTTGTGCTTGGCATTTTTAGGTAACTGACCTTTTCTCCTACATCCTTATGTCAGAGATCTTGTAAACACAGTCCCCAGCAATGTATTATATAGAGTCCCTTTGCACAGGACATAGCCTCAAGCTGTGCCAGCGGAGGTTCAGATTAAACATCAGGAGGAATTTCTTCACAGAAAGGGTTGTCAAACATTGGCATAGGCTGCCCAGGGAGGTGGTGGAGTCACCATGCCAGGATGAGAAATGGCTGGACGTGGCACTTACTGCCATGGTCTAGTGACAAGGTGGTCTTCAGTCAACAACTGGACTCAAGTAACTTAAGAGTTGTTTTCTAACCTAATTTATTCTGTGATCCTGCAATGTGAGTTTGTGGGGCCCACTCTGGGCAACTCCCTGAGGACTCCCCTGACAAGGGGAAACCCTTCTGAAGCAGTTCTTTGTCAGGAAAAGCAAACACACAGGACTTTTTTGGTCTTCAGGTTCTTGTTTTATTGTGATCTTATCATGACTTCAGTACACTGTCTCCACCCAGACCTTGCATGCCCAAAAACAGCACAAAAATGGCCAATGGCCTCGTGTTGCAAGGCCTTTTTAAGTCTAATCAAAACCTAAACTACCCAATTAA